GTGTTTCTAAACGTGGACAGCCCTGTGAGCAGGACCTTCCACGTCCACGGCTCCCCGCAGACGGGGGGTTCCTGGAAGGTTCTCCTGGGGAGTGGAGACGGTGGCTAATCCCAGGTACCTCAGGGAGGGCCGGCGGGGGACACTGGCGTCTTGTCCTGTGGACTTCTGCAGTGCCCCCATTAAAGCCTTGCTCTGTTCCTGATCTAACCAAGTTCTCTGGGCAGCACCTGCATGTTCTCTGGGCGGCGTGGTCCCGTGGGAAGGCCAGCTTGGCCGGATGGTCCCGTCTCCACTGGCCAGTGAGGTGGCGTCGGTCAGATGCTGCCAGCGAGCTCCCCAAACGTGCCTGGTTTAACATTTTACTGGTACAGGGCATGAGGAAAGAAATGTGGTGAGGTGGCCGTAGGTGCCCGTCACGGAGAGCCCGCAGAGCAGGGAGAGCGGGCGCTCGCGGAGGAAGCCCGGGGCAGCTGGTCCTCAGCGTGGTCAGCGCATCCCAGACGCACAGAGCAAGGGAGGCGGTTTCAGCAGTGGGGAAGCGGGTGGACATCCGTGGGGGGCACAGAGGACGTCTGGGCTTCTAGGGGATACACGGTGTTCACACGCCCCGTGGGGCAGCGGCCGAGCAGATCCTGGGGCAGGAGCCCACCCGCCAGGCTCTGCCACGTCGTAGCCCTCGTCTGCCACCATGTGCCGTGGGACCTGAGCCTGGTCAGCCTGCCCTCTGGACTCCGTCTCCTCCTGTGGGAGAGGAGTCATGACTCAGAGCCTGACTCGGGTCACCCAGCCATGGGGACTACAGGTACCTGTCACCTTCCCACAGGGAGCTCCTGCCTCCCCTGCCCCCGCAGCAGCCTTCCCTCAAGACCACGGACAGTCTTGAATGGCCGTGGATGGGGGGCAGCTGGTGACCAGCGACTCCCAAGATCCTGTGAAGTCCCCCGGTGGGGGGTGCCGTCCTTGCTCTGGGTCCTGTCTGGGTTCTGCATAATTCTCTCTGCTTGCAGGTCTCTGGGGCCCCACAAATATAGAGCTGCTGCAGGAGCCCGAGTGGCACTGAGCAGGGTTGGGGACGTGCAGGCAGAGGTATGGTTTTGGAGAGCCTCCTCTGGCTACCTTGACTGGTGGTCCACTCAGAGCACAGGAGCCGTCTTTGTGGCATCTGTAGGAGGAACGTAAGTTTATTTTTTCCATGTCCCACCTGCTGGCTGGGTACAAAAGGTCTCTGCCAGTCCCCTGGGCATCCTGCTGGAGCTCCACTCTAGGCAGCTGGGTGGCTGTAGAGCACAGAGTGGGCACAGGAAGGAAGAACTCAGCTTAGTCAAAGAACCTCTCAGGATTTCACGTTTTTCCCCCTTGAACTCTCACTTCTTCCAAGATGGTGGTCTCACCTTTAGACACTCATTTTTAAGATTCAGAACAGAGCAGGAGGGGGTTGCTGCTGGATCAAGAAGGTCCATCTTTGGAAGACACCATGAGGGAGGGCCATCAGGCTGTCTCGCCCCTGGGCTCTTTGGGTCTGAGGCCACCAAGGGCTCTGGGTGCCTGTCCTCTCTCAAGGTGTCCACGCTGATGACCACATGGCGCTTATCGCAGCAGGAGGGGTGGAATGCAGTGCTTTATGGGGAGCTGATAGCCTGAGGAGGGATGGAGCCGCGTTGTCAAGGTCGGAAACGTGTGCCCTGTGTTTCCCAGCAGAAGGTCCAGAGTGCTGAGACCGTGGTGCGCGCATTTCGGCATCCCTTGGCATGTGCGCGTCTTGGGTAGTGGGCTGGCCTTACGTGGCCTTTCCTATGTTCGTTGACTTGAGTGCTGGGGTCTGCCAGCAGAGATCACAGGCAGTGACCAAGGAAGGGATCACAAACCGTGTTCTTTGCCATGCCTTAACCAAGTGGTTTTAGGTGTTGGCCCGCATCTGGCCACCTGAGACTGGGGTCCGGGCAGCAGGTGCGGGGAGAGTCTGCAGGCGGCAGTGCCAGCCATCTCCCAGGTGGTGCAGCTGTGGCTACCAGCCACGGGTGCCTTTGGACAGAGAGGCCCACCTTGGTGACCACACGGTGTGTCCCCTGAGGATGTTGTCAAGTGCATGCTGAAGGGTTTCCACAGAAGCTCAGGGCCAAGGGTGGCTTGTCTATCCGTGGTGTGGGCTGCAGGTGTGCAGGCATTTTGGATCCTGGGTTTCATCCGTAGAGAAGCAACATGACGTCTTCTATGTGGAATTCTGTGAACAGTCTTTCTCAGCCGTGTCTCTGAGAATGTGCCTCTGGTCCTCTCCAGCTCAGGCCGCCCCAGGCCTCCCGGCCGACTTGGGCCACACCGTCACCGGGAAGATGAACTCTGGCCTCTGAAGCCAGCTGCTGTTCTGGGTCCTGGGCCCTGGGAATGGCAGTCTTGGCCAGGGGCTGGCCGGGCCCCAGGGACAGCCACTCTTCGCTACATTCCAAGCCTGGCCCAGAGAACTGTGCAGATGCCGTCCGCCAGCCCGCCTGCCTGGTGAAGCGAGCCGTGCCTCCGACGGGTCCCGAGCATTCCCTTCAGTGGCTTTCCCAGGGGCGCTTCAAGCACATTTTGTTTTCTGTGTCTGGGAGGAGTGTCTGTCTGATTCTCTGTCACCCAAGACACGTTGACTCCTGGGGTTCTAGAATGGACTGTGGTTGGATGTGGCGTTGGTTCCTGGGCAGGCTTTAGGGTAGGAGGCAGACACACCGTCTCCTCTCAGCCCCTGGAAATGGCCTCCATCTGAGCCTGGCGACAGGTCTAGCCAATAGGGCGACGACCTCTAGGATTCCGTCCTTAAGTCATGACCAGCCGTCACACAGGCTGATGCTTCACACAGTCTCAAGCTGAGCTCCCAGGCTGCATTTAGATGGTTGGAGGCATTGATTTCTCTCCCTGAAAACTCACAAGATATCGGCTGCCAAAAAAAGAAAAAACCACCATGGGGGAAAGCCAGCTAATCCGCACGGCACCTGGGCGGCCACCGCGGAGGACGAGGTGTAGAATGTAGAATTTGTCCTCATTGTCAGGTGCACCAGGGATATGCAGATTGTTTTAAATCATTGTAGAAAACTGGAGTCAGAAAAACAACGACTTTCCCATGAAACTCAGAATTTGGGATTCAGAACCAGGTTCTGTCTGGTCTTGGGCAGTTCACCCAGTACCTAACTGTGTATCCTGTTAACCATCGGGGTCAGTCATCCTAATGCCCCTGTGTTTTGTCGTGACTTCTAGCAGGGCTTTTTTGGCCACTAGTACTCTGATCAAGAGTGGAACGGAAGAGGAAGTACCCAGATTCTCATTCCTTAATGTAGTCTGGCATATTAGAAATTAGATCGTCGTAGACTGTTTCCATAATACATCTCAGAATCATTTTTACAACTCCCTGGGGTAAATACAAAACAATTTTAGTGAGGAGGAGCAATTTCAGTTTTTTGTTCTATTGTGTGCTGCACTAATTTAAATTATTCTGCTCACTAGTATATTATTAGCACCTCATCTTCACAAAGAATTTTAAATATGGGCTGACTGGATTCTTGTGGTGTTTGTATTCTGTTATACGTTTTAAAAATAGGGAAAGGGGAGAAAAAAACTGACAAGATTCTCTTTTGAATGCTGTCTTTTCCTGACTCCAGGGAAGTTTCTCTCATACTGTGTTGATTAGCCTTCTATTACTGTAAGAAAATACCTGAGATAATCAACTTTAAAAGGAGGAAAGGTTTATTTTGGCTCACAGTTTCAGAGGGTTCACTTCATGATCAGTTGGCCCTGATGCCTTTGTTGAATCACCACATCATGCAGGGAGCATGTGGCAGAGGAAACGTGCTTGTCTTGTGGTGGCTGAGAGGCAAAGAGCGAGAGAGAGAGGAAGAGGCCGGGTCTCAATGCCCCCTCAGGGGCCACCTCCAGTGACCTGCTTCCTTCCATTAGGCCCACCTCCTCGGAGGGCTGCGGGCTGGGCCACACCTTCAGCACCTGGGGGACACTTTGCCCCAGCACAGCATGTAACTCATTTTCTAGAACGGAGGCTTGGAGGGAAGGGGTGGGGTGCAAGAGGGGATGGCACCGCTGCCCTGCTCCCTCTGTAGGGTGCTGGGACACGGGCCCAGGGCCTGCCTGCAGCAGATCCCCACGACCACCCTCACGTCTGCCACCAACAGCACGCCCAGGGTCCCTGACGCCAGCCCCAGGCTCAGGAGGACTTGCTAGGAGGACTCACAGTGCTCAGGAAGGCTTGCAGTCAGTGGCCAGCGTGTAAACAGACGGCGCTCACTCCTTTAGTGTCCCTTTGTGTTTCCATTTTGTCCGGATGCCTCCCAGCACCCGTGTGTCGGAAGTGGGACGACTAGTGGTGTGTCTCAAGGTCACAGACCTGAGGCTTCCTTGGTTTCCCTGTGGACTAAGGACCATTTCTGCGTAACTGAGTGTTTGCAGAGAGCATCTGATAAATGTGCAAGGCCTCGGTTGGCATTTTCAGGGGCGCAACGTGCCCCGCAGTGTGTCCCCAGACAGGGGTGGTCTTCGGTCACCGTCCAGTGCAAACTCAGAAGACAGACGAACGTGGGCAGCTGTGGACTTGGGTCTTGGGCACGGACACAAGCTGGGCTTCCCGACTGCTGTCAAAGCCAGAGGGCGTCACCCACTGCCATCTGGAGGGGACCTGACCGACTCCAGGGCCCCTTCCCAGCCCCGGTCTGAAGCTGGCGCTTTTTACAGTTTTAAATATGAGGGACCTCAGGATCCAGAGGTAGGAAGGTGGTCCGTCACCAGAGTCCGCCGCAGTCGCAGGGCAGCATGCGTCTGTCTGCACAGGATGTTAGGAGACCCCACTGGGGGAGGTGCCTGAGGGGGGCGCGGCTTTGCCTGCCCTGTGACCCCAGCCCC